CCCCCCCCCCCATATTACCACAGATTATTTAATGGGAAAATAAATGGAAAAGTGCGCTTTGCTTAAACATGTTCAAATCTAACCCTCGGTCCCCAATGAAACCTTTCCTATTAACTCCCTTCCTCCATACCTGCAATAAACCCTGTTTTTATTCTTTAAAACTGACGAAAACAATTTTATCTCCTTATTAGGGTGGAAACGTGAGGCCTGAATATTCGGGTTTGAATTAAATATTAATATTTACGATGCACATAATAATCCTATGCATTGTAATGCTAAAGTAAAAAGATTGTGTAGATGTATGCAAATATATATAAGTATATGCAATAAAGCAAAGGGGGAATCTATCCAGAATTCTTATTTTTCAATCATCAGATTAGGCCATTTTACTGGGTAGATTGTACTCCTGGCGTTTCTGAAATCTGAATATAATTTCAAGTAGATTGCCCCTCTGATCACCCAGAAATATGGATCTAATTTTGAGTAGATTGCCCCTCTGATATACCAGAAATGCATACAGATACTATCAATATTATCGTCAAAAATTCCTGGCTCATATTTTCGTTATTAAACTAAAGTTGAGAAACATGGGAATGGGAGAGGGGAATGAAAAAATGAGGGAGGTGGGGATGAATTAATGGGGAATGAGGAGACGGAAAGAGTAAGAAATTTAGAGGTTCCAAATAATTTTTTATCAGCTGATTAAGATTGCTAATTAATCTGATTATTAATTGATAAAAAAAAAAATAATGTCCATTTCATGATAGAATTATACAATGTCTCAAATTTTTGATGAGATATCAGAGAAATGGAATAATTCCGGTGTTATAACAGATACACCTCCTATATCTTTATTAGACCCCTAGCTCCTGCCAAAGAATGAAAAGAACACAAGGTGACAAACTTAATAAAGCCAAGGATTTTTATCTAATTCCGACAATTAAAGTAAACGTGATACTACCGCAGAATGACAAGCTCTAGTAAATTTAATTGTTTTAATTTACTTCTTCATCGTACATTATATTTTTTAATCGTTTTTTTTCATTACACGGACACTATGGACGTTATTTTAAGTAACCTTCAATTAAAAACAATGGCACGTCCGATTCACAACGATACCTTTTTTATAACTCAATCTGAGTAAAAAATTAAGGAAGATATTAATCTTGTTACATTTTTAAACATTCTTCAATGGCTCTGCAGCACAAATGACCAAGCCAAATCTAACGATCCCTTTCAACCCTATCAGTCGAATTGTATTGTTTATTATCTGGAAGAGAGTTTGAGGAATAATGATTCTACAAGTATGCAATAATAAACTTGAAATTTAGACATGTTATATTTGTTTATGGCTGCATAACGTTTCAAACTGTTAATGTCTAAATGACATGATGATAATATAATCTGTTGTAAAATAAACATGAAAAGGCATTGTTCGCATATTTCAAAATGTGCATAATACTCGATATAAGAAACATAATTATCAGCGTTCTGTAATGCTCATTATGAGCAAAGAAATTGAGTCTTTGCCACAAACTCTGATTTTTAAATCCTTTTACCTTAACACCCCAATGTTGTAGACTTTATATTTCAAACTATGACTTTTATTTTATCAAACAATCGAAGTTTGAAATATCAAAGGTTTACATAATTTGGTTGTGGATGTATAGGTATTAGAAAATTGGGATTTGTTGCAAAGACTCAATTCCTTTGTGTGTGTAAATTGTCATCGCGTTTTAAGTTAGAAAGTCAGGCTCTTATATTTTTTCGAATGGAGATATTTCATAATTATTTAATAAAGGAATTGAATCATAGTTTGAAATATCTAAGGAATACAGCATTGCATTGTTTGGATTTAAAAACTAGAGTTTGTGGCAAAGACTCAATTCCTTACTGGTGTAAGGTGCAGGCTAGAACTAGAACTAGAACTAGAACTAGAACTAGAACTAGAACTAGAACTAGAACTAGAACTAGAACTAGAACTAGAACTAGAACTAGAGAATTAGAATCATAACTAGAACTAGAAATAGAACTAGAACTAGAACTAAAACTAGAACTAGTACTAGAACTAGAACTAGAACTAGAAGTAGGACTAGAATTGAACTAGAACTAGAACTAGAACTAGAACTAGAACTAGAACTAGAATTAGAATTAGAACTAGAACTAGAACTATAGAATTAGAATTATAACTAGAACTAGAACTAGAACTAGAACTAGAACTAGAACTAGAACTAGAACTAAAACTAGAACTAGAACTAGAACTAGAACTAGAACTAGAACTAGAACTAGAACTAGGACTAGAACTAGAACTAGAACTAGAACTATAGAATTAGAATTATAACTAGAACTAGAACTAGAACTAGAACTAGAACTAGGACTAGAATTGAACTAGAACTAGAACTAGAACTAGAACTAGAACTAGAACTAGAACTAGAACTAGAACTAGAACTAGAACTACGACTAGAACTAGAACTAGAGCTAGAACTAGACTAAAGCTAGAACTAGAACTAGAATTCTATGATAAATGTTCCAAGGGTTAAATAGAAGATAAATGGCCTCCTGGTGAGCTGAACGAAACATAGAACAACATCGCAGCAGCATTGTGTATAAACCGTATTCTGGGATCCGTATATCACTATGTTATGTATACAGTATACAGTAGATATATATACAATCTAAATGTAAAACCCCGCTAGGTTAAGGATGCAACACTTTATTTTACATTCCGGAAAAACAAGAATTAGAAAGTACACTTCAGGATAAGCAAGGAAGGAAGGGGAGTGATGGGGTTGCTCTTATTATGAAAACCTAAAAACAAAGAAAAATGATAATTTTTAAAATCTAGATATGATGGAAACTGAAATATTAAAATGCTTAGATATATATATTTATCATATCTATACATCAATTATCTAAACATTATACTATTACCTCGAAAAGTAATCAGTATGCAGGACTTGTATATTTTTAATGATATCTAACATAATCTGCAATCAACCTCGATCTCCTGCTTCTAACTCAATTCTAACCTCCTCGGCTTTTTTCTTCCCAACATTAGATCCCTCCCCCAACCTTCTGGACCATAAGCTTAATGCTTAAAAAGTTTAATCAGGATTCATCAATGAATCCTTGCTATTTTAATCAACTTAACGATTGTTTGCACAAATTAAGATCAGAACAATCATATCAACGATGCATTGCATATATAAGCTTAGCTTTTAGTGATGACCTAATTAGTTGATTGTGGCTGTGTAATTGTGTATATTCAAACCTAACTTCATCTATATATACTTTGCTTTTCTGTCTGTCTGTTTGTTTGTTCGTATCCAATAGACATCAAAACGACTGAAACGATCGGGCCCAAATTTTTTGTGAAACCTCACGTGACCCTAAGGAAGGTTTAAGGGTGATCGATTTTTCAAAAATTTGCCTCTAACAAAATTCGATTTTGGAAAATTTAGATCCGCCAATTTTTTTATGGTTCCTGTTGATGTGCACAAGCCTAGTTTATAATATCCTTGTAAAAATATCATTTGAAAATTGAATTAAGACGCGCAGCTTTGTGAATTTCTTGAAATATAATATGAATACGATGGCGGCTGGGGGTAAAGAAATATAGCCTGGGAATTAATACAGTAAGTTGCATTAATTTATAGAAATATCTCTAGAAAAAGAATTTAGAACCATGAATCCATAATAAAATTCAAATTCCAGACACAGCGTTTATTTCATCAGACACTTTGACAATTGACATTAGACAGAATACATACACATATAATTAAATAGATAACTTACCAGCACACGGACAGCATATCACACACGGTCTATACATACTAGTACACAGACAGTATATCACACGGTACATATTAGACCCGGACAGTATATTACACGGTCTATACATTCTAGTAGACAGACAGTATATCACACGGTGCATATTAGACCCGGACAGTATATTACACGGTCTATACATTCTAGTACACAGACAGGATATCACACGGTACATATTAGACCCGGACAGTGTATTACACGGTCTATACATGCTAACACACGGATAGTATATCACACGGTGTATACGTAAATGCACACGGACACCCTTTCAAACGGTCGATCCGTCTTGGCACTCAGACTGTGTAAAACCATCAGCTGTAGTTGAGGAGATAATTAATGGTTCCGATTCTGTCTTTGAATAAATGGTGGGTAATGATGACGCCGATGACGATATGAAAAGTTTGATTTTCTCTGAAAACAATGTCCAAGGTCAACCTCTTGTGATAAAGATTAAAGATTATAGATTAAAGATTCAAGCAATTCAGTGTGTGAGGAGGAGGAGGGGAGGGGAGGTTAAAAAGAACATAAAAGTAGGGTCAGAAATGTCACTAATAGGGCATTAAATACTGAATNGAGGGATACGGGGAGCCCATAGGTAAAATATGAACTAATAGAAAAATGTAAAGATTGATCTCATCTGACCATAAAAAGTACGTCTATGAACAAAAAAAACTTTACGCACTAGTGAGTAGTGAGTAGTGGAATATTAGATAAAGGGAAGGGTTTTCATGGGATGGAATGTCAAGTAGAAGGGTAGGGTAGGGTGGGGAAGGGTGGGGAAGAGTGGGGAAAGGGGCGGTGTTGTAGTTTTAGTGCCCCCTCGTAAAACAGATTGAAAATTTAAAACAAGTTTCAAGGTTTGCACCTAGGGGTTGGGTCTATAGGGAAAATGGTTGAATATTCATTATTTAGTTGTCAACGTACTTGATGTACGTGGAAACAATATAATTAATTTAGTATCAATGTTTCAATCAGATAAAATGAAAATCTAATAATATTGGTCAGCAGCGGCTTGCTAGAAAATACCGCTAATTTCTGTTTCAATGTTTTTATACTAAGAAGCATAAAACTGTGGATAGGGAACACGACATTACATCAATACTGTATTTGATGATGCAAAGCAAATATGTTCACTATATAGTAACTTATCACTTATCAAGTTATATGGATCTGTTTATGCTACACAATTGCTACGACTCGAGATCATTTAACTAATTAAAGTCATAACTGGAGCATTAAAGTCGTTTGCCTTTTCCAAAGTTTCCAATTCTCATTGTTTGTCGAAAATACTTTTAATTTTAAAACTATTCAGGTCTGATGCTCCCACATCGCCTGTACAGTGCTCGGTCCATATACCGACTGGGAAGCGTACAGCAGTTAATACAAAGGTAAATAAAAACATAAATTTTATTTTCAGCGCAATTCAATTCAATAAACTTCGTCTGTAAACATTTTTAACGTGATATTTTAATTTGATTTTTTACTGATTCACTAGGTGTATTCGATAAAATTTGTTAAAATTGAACATCTGAATTAAAGTAATATACATATTATATATAATTATGTCTTTAAATCAATAACACCCCCCCCCCATCCGTGGCGAAAACAAAGTGTATAGCTTACATCTATTATGCCTGGGTAAATATTGATTTGAATTAATGTGAACTAATCTAACCTACTCAAGCCACCCGCTGTGCAATGTTGATTTACCGTATTCGAATTTAGAGAGGGGGGGGGGAGGCTGCATTGACGGTGGAGTGGAAATGGATAGGGTAGCTTCGACGGTGGAGGGGAAGGGGGGAGGTTAGTTTGTGAGAATCAATGAGATGAGATGTTTGCGTCTTGACATCCTAAAGCGTGTTTTAAAAAATGACTTTTTTTGCCGCCCGAAGCCAATCATTGTGCTTCAATCGAAACAGATTTGCTGATTTTTAAAACCCTTGATTTGATGTCGGAGAGCTATGATTATGCATTTTTAAAATTCTTCGTTCAGAACTACCACATAGATCGTTGAAGAAAAAGGTTTAAATTGATCCAATATAAAGTTCGCTAAAATATTCAAAAACATTTTTGTCAAGCCTATGTTAATATAGAACCCATAGATTTTACAGTAAGGACAAAAGTTATATTGTTTTCTAACTTTTGTCCATGCAAATCTTAACGAGTTTTTCCATGCTGATCAGTAAACCAAAAAAGTTTAATTACGGAAATTATTATTATGTGCTGAAAAACCTGATCTGAATAATTACAAACTTTAACAAACTTTAGTGTCCTTTCTTCTTAATCTATGGTTTGAATGCACAGGGACCAGATTGGTTTTACACATGCAATAATACGTACACAATGATATCATGAATCGCTGCAGATTAAAGTTGGCTATTTTATTTTTTCCCACAAATTTGCGGTGAGACCGAGCGCAGGAATTGGCAGACTTTTTATGACTGCCATGCAATTGTCAGCCGTGCAAAAACTGGTTCAAAGCTTGATATTACAACGGAAGGAGGTTTGTGGAGGGGTTGAGGGTAATGTTAAATACTGATTTTTATACCAATATATGAGATATCAAATACGTAGGTATCCAATATATATATATATATTATTCTGTCAAAATTGGTATTTAAGTTGTTTAAAATATGTTTGTATTTTTATCCAGGGATGCATATTGACAAATTTCAACAAAAAAGTATTATTTGTCTTCATTTTTTGTTTTAAAAAGAATAATTTCGAACATTGAAATATAACTTTAAGACCTGGTTCGGAAATCAAATAAAGCATTTTGAAGACAATTACAAAGCAAATATGTATAGTTTATTTTGTTTATCCATCTATGAAATTGATTCTCTTTATCCTGTTCAAAGCTTAGATCTTTCTGAAACTGTTATGGAAATGGTATTATTTAAAATCTATGTTTATAATATATATGTGTCTTGATAAATTGTTAATTGTGGTTATTTTACAATAATGAAGATATTAATAATATTTCTAATAGCAGGTTCTTGGTGCGTGTCTACTGTGCGCGGTTTGTGGAGATAATGCCGCGTGTCAACATTACGGAGTGCGCACGTGTGAAGGCTGTAAAGGATTCTTCAAGAGAACTGTACAGAAGAGTGCTAAGTACGTCTGCCTGGCGGATAAGAACTGTCCTGTGGACAAACGGCGGAGAAACCGCTGCCAGTTCTGCAGGTTTCAGAAGTGCCTCACGGTTGGGATGGTGAAGGAGGTTGTGAGGACGGATGGTCTTAAAGGTAGAAGAGGCCGTCTTCCAACCAAACCTCGGACCCAGCTGGAGCAGAGTTCTGCTCCTCCCGTCACTATGATCACAGCTCTGGTCCGAGCACACATGGAGTCAACACCAAAGCTGGAAAACCTCGACTATTCTCAGGTAGGTTTATTCAGTCAAGGGATATATTTCAGTATAGGCTTATAGGTATAGGAGAAGTAAGACTTCGGAGACGACTGTACGGATTATATTCAATCCTTTTTTTTACTTTGACTTATCCCTGCAGCTGTAATCCGTATAGTTGAATTAGTTAGTTAAGATATATTCAAGTCGGATGATCATGTTTAAAAGTTAAGGTCTAAAGGACTAAACTCAGTTGTTCCTTGCATCTCCTCATTTTCATTTTCACGATATATTAGAAATATGTTTTCCAAACCAAATAACCTAGTTTTAAATGTTAATATTAAAATTCTGAATGATGGCAATGAAAATAAGTGCAAGAATACTTGTAACTAGATGTACCCTCAAGCTTTATCCTGAGATATGAAATAAAAATTCCCAGAAATGCATCCAACCAGACGCGGAGTTCATGATAGGAATATAGCTCATGGCAACCGGCAGTATTTTGAATAAAGAAAGGATCATGTCCATGAAATACAAAGGAATTTACCATTAAAGAGTTGATAAGATGATGAGGGGGGATATAGATACGCAAATTAGAAAAGAATAAATAATTTTCTTGATTATTATGTGTCTAGATATTAGCATAAAATTTGAAATTTGGTCAAATGTGTCCAACTTTCTTTGGTTCATTTAAACTACAGATTTTAGTAAATGCTTAGAAATTTTTTAATACATAATTACCCTGCAAGTGACAAATTTTATTACTAAAATTTCAAAATTACACCATATTTTCTTCTCTTATTGCTAATAATGTACAATTTAATGTTAAAACACGCTTGATAAAGTTAAACTGCATGTATTTTAATAAAAAAATATGGAGCTTTTCATGAAACCTTATTATTTTGTTGCTAAAAACTGAACATTTCATTTCATTTCACTGACTTTTCAATAATTAGATAGTTCATGGACTTTTGAAATTTCGATATTTCGACATTTTATCTTTTGCATATTTTAACTTATTGGCTGTTGAATGTTGAAGCCCTGGCTGATTCTTCAAGATTATTGCAACGATTGAGCCCCAGGTTTCTGTTTCTCAGAACAAAAAAGGGCGCTTTCATTTCGCGGGTTAAAAGTATAAATTGCAAGTTTTAGCCAGGCTAAACCGTGCAAATCTTAGAAGAGTTTTGAATTAGCGTAAGTTTTTGAAACCAAGAAATGCCTTCGTACATTTTTTTGTTTTTATTATTCTTTCTTGGTTCAGTTTCAAACAAAAAATTCAATGTTTTGAGTGGAATTATCTTAGGATGCCTAACAATATCGCATTGTTGTCATTAAAACAACCTCTCAGCGTTAAATTTGCTTTGCCATTTTATCTCCGAACACTGAGCATTTACTCTGCGCACGATAAAACTATTAAGATTGTTTATTTGACTAGTGTTTTTGCATATGTTCATAAAATATCACTCTTTTGTCCCACCTCTGCATTTAAGAATCATTTTTTTAAATACTTATTTGTTCAATTGACTCCTTGAGTCACGTTTTTCTTCAAATTTATTAAGTACAAAACTGAAGAGATATCTTATTCTGTTTACAATTATACATTTAGAGCAACTGAGCAGAATGAAAATTTAAATTTGTGATAATTTTTTAGTTACTTTTTGTTGACCTTTTTTTAAAGAGTGCCTTTAGCGATTGACAATCCTTTGTATGTTGACCCTTCATTTAAAGAGTGCCTTTAGCGATTGACAATCCTTTGTATATTTTTGTTTACCCTTCATTTAAAGAGTGCCTTTAGCGATTGACAATGCCTTGTATGTTTTTGAAATCGACTTTTTTGAGATTATGACGAAGATAAAAAAGTCTGCGATGAGTCTTATCAACTTTAGATTAACAACAAACAACAGTTCCTCAGATAAAGGTTAAAAGAAATCAATATTGAAACATTCGAACAGATTTTTTTAGATACTGACAATGAAAAAATTGCAAAATTGAAAATAACTCCAGTAATTCTCGTGATTTTGTGCATTTAAACTATTGTTTAAAAGAATATTCTAAGCATGAAATTACAACAATTTGATTTAAAATTATTTCTTGAAATTACTTAATTGTTAGAACAAGCACCTTTTACCTCATTTTCAGCTTCCTTTTCATCTTTTTTAAACTTCCCTAATTTCCTCAATTTATAAGATATAATTCATCATTTTCTTCGATATTTTCAAAATTCATAACTCATGAACCCCTTGACCGATTTGCCTAACATTTCTGGTTGAGGAACTCGGAAGAACCCCGGGAATGGTCTTTGCATGGTTTTGAGATTCTTAGTTGAGTGAGTCGACGCACTTCCTATATCTTTGCAACCTGATGGCGCAAACCACCTTCGATATTTGAAGCTGACAATCTTGTGAAAAAAGTATTTTAGACCGTCAAGTCGCAAATATATGAGCAATCAGTTCCTTTGTGTACTTCATATATCGCTCCTCAGCTTTACATTTGTTTTGCATAAATAAACAAATTTTAACAAATGAGACTCTGTGGAAGTTTATAATTCAACCTATTTGTCTTGCAAACCACAAACTTACTGCATTTTAACCACACTTACTTATGCACGGACTAATGTTTTTTCCCGAAACTAAAATATATGCAAAACATCCTAAAATTAAAGCCTTATTGCATAAAGTTTTCCTGAACTATTTACTATCCCTTAAAAGAAGTAATTTTTGCCTGAAACTATAATATCCTACTCCTTATATTCTTGCAACTTGATGTCATTATAGACCTTTTAAATTAAGTATTCTGCAAGATCAAATAGTCAAAGTTTAAAATATCCAATGTTGACATATGGTTGCAAAAATAAAGGAATTATAATTTGTTGGTTAGAACCCAAAGTTTTTTTTGTAGATAGGAAATAACACAAAGTTCACAGAGGTTGAATCTTAACCATTTTTAATTTTGTTAAAATGAATTTTGAAATTTATTTTGCATTGCATTTTTTTTCATTTTTCTTGGGAAAAAATTTATAATTACAATTGAATTAAAAACCATGGTTGGTAAGTTGTGCCCTGATGCGTAAGCAATTATATGCATCAAATCTACATCTGTATTCTGTATATATATATATATATATATACTATGTATAATATTAAAACCCGGTTATTAAACATAATACAAGCTAATTATCCTACTCTGGGAGCCTAAGGAATGCAATACCAAGTCTAAATGGAAACACTAAGCGTGCATGTTTAAAATCACTTATTCAATCTTATCGAATATTAAAAAAGGAATTGAGTCTTTGCCACAAACTCTGATTTTCCAATACCTATATCTTTGCAACTCAATGTCTTAGACCTTATTTATTTCAAACTAAGTAAACTGTTAGATCAAATAATCTAAGTTTGAAATATCAAAAGTTTACTCCATCAGGTTCCAAAGATATAGGGATTTAAACATTTAAGTTTGTGACAAAAACTCAATTCCTTTGATTTTCATTCGTCGGAAAGTAAATTGACCAAAGAAATTGAGTCCTTGCTAAAAATTCTGATATACAATCCCTTCGATCTTAGCAACCCAATGTTGTAGACCTTGATATTTTAAACTATAAATTCTGTTAGATGAAAGATTGCAACATCAAAGGTTGACAGCATCAAGTTGCAAAGATACATGGTAAAAGAAAATTATTATTATCAATTTAATATTCTTTACTGCGCTTCTCTGAAAAGGTTACTTCACGGGGAGCCGTAGTACATTTGAATTTCCGAGGCGGGTCAACCTTTCCGGTCCCAGTTTGTACTGTACCTAACTCTATGGACAGGTTGGCGCGGTCAGGCTTCATGCTTCATATAGCTTGAATTTACTTTTACAAAAGAGGCAGATTTGCGTGACTTGTACACATTTAAATTGTTGACAAAATGAAGTAAATTGAGCGTATTTATATTTCTTTTACGCAGAAAAACGTAAATATTTTTTTTACTCAGAAAGAGATTTAAAGTGTTCCGTTGTAAATCGGTCTTGCCACTCTCTAGATGGTAGGTCTCTAGAAACTGATAATTTTAATGCCAAAAGGAAATTTAAAAACAATAGTTACTTAATCAAGGAGCAAATCTAGACTAAGCTGTATCACTGTGAATGACTAAAGTTTGAGGCCTATAGTTAAGCTCAAATTTTTGATTGAGTTATTCTCAGTATTTTTGCTTCACTGTATCTGCAGAGACTTGCCTCCGGCAATAGTCTGGGTCTAAAAACTGTACAAAAACCAATTCATCCGAGGGCAGACGTGTGTTGTGGTTAATTCGAGTATTATTTATCAAAAATATTAAGTAAGAACTATTGTCAAGTGATCGGAACTTTTAAATTTAAAGATCCGTTATCAAGGACCGTATGTTTTAATATCTGATGGATTTAGATAATTCCTTTGAATACCTATTTAGTTCCGACAAAATCCGATTTTGACCAATGAGGGATCGTTGGAATACAAGACATTTTTACGGATTAGTAGTTAATCGTTTGAAATCAAAAGTTTCCGCGGTGAATATCGAGTAGTGGTATAATGAAGTCGTAATAAAGCACTATTCTCATTACAATCATAGCTGGGGACTTTGAAATGGACAAGCTGAACTCATTTTGCCCTCTTCGATCTCTTTTTGGTCAATACTATGAGAATTTTACAAAGAGAACGTGAATGTGTTAAACTGTGTTTAGGTTAACTGATTTAGCATGAAATAGAATCAAATATAAAGGATTTGTTTACCATTCTAAATTATGGTTGATTTCTTTTAACCAAATGAACTAGCTATAAAATTTATTCACGATCCCTACATCTCATAAAATGTTTTAAATAAATAATCTTTTGTGCAATTGGGTTGAAAGATAAAGCATAATTTAGTTTTGCAAATTATGACATGCCCAGGTACTCTGCCATTATGGTGTATATTATCAACAGGAACGGAACAGGGTGTCCCACTTTAAACATCGTAAAAAAGTGTTGATTTTAATTCAGAAATTGGAACTAACCTAATTTAAAATTTGAGAATTAAAAGACATGTGAAATTATAGCGGGTTTTACAAACCTCTTTAGAGTCTTAAAGCAACCTGAAATATGTTGTTGAAGCAGGGTCTGTAATTTTGACCAAGATATGATTAGCATGATCATATAATGTTCCATTATTTTCACCAGACAATAGTGTATATATGTACAATGCATTGAGTGAAGGTTTAAGACGTGATAGAAGTAGAACTAGTTACATGTGCTGTAGTCTACATTCAAAATTTTGTATCTTGGTATACCCTTTTGTATCCTGGTTTACCATTTTGTATCCTGGTATACCCTTTTGTATCCAGATATACCTTTTTGTATCCTGGTAAACAATTTTGTATCCTGGTATACCCTTTTGTATCCTGGTTTACCATTTTGTATCCTGGTATACCCTTTTGTATCCTGATATACCTTTTTGTATCCTGGTAAACAATTTTGTATCCTGGTATACCCTTTTGTATCCTGGTTTACCATTTTGTATCCTGGTATACCCTTTTGTATCCTGATATACCTTTTTGTATCCTGGTAAACAATTTTGTATCCTGGTATACCCTTTTGTATCCTGGTTTACCATTTTGTATCCTGGTATACCCTTTTGTATCCTGATATACCTTTTTGTATCCTGGTAAACAATTTTGTATCCTGGTATACCCTTTTGTATCCTGGTNGGGGGTTAGGGATAGGATTGTATTTATCCGGGTTGGGGAGTTAATGAAATAGGATTGTATTTCTCCGGGTTTGGGAGTTAATGAAATAGGATTGTATTTCTCCGGGCTTGGGAGTTAATGATATAGGATTGTATTTCTCCGGGTTTGGGAGTTAATGATATAGGATTGTTTTTCTCCGGTTTTGGGAGTTAATGAAATAGGATTGTATTTCTCCGGGTTTGGGAGTTAATGATATAGGATTGTATTTTTCCGGGTTTGGGAGTTAATGAAATAGGATTGTATTTCTCCAGGTTTAGGGGTTAGGGATACGATTGTGTTTCTCCTGTTTTGAGGGTTAGGGATACGATTGTATGTCTCTGGGTTTGGGGGTTACAGATAGGATTGTATTTCTCCGCGTAAGGGAAATAGGGATAGGATTGAATTTCTCCGGGTATGGGAGTTAGGGACAGGATTTTATTTCTACGGGTTTGGAGGCCAGTGAAAGGATTGAATTTCACCGGGTTTTGGGGTTTGGGATAGGACGCCATTTCTCCTGGATTTGGGGTTAGGGATGGTATTGTATTTCTCCGGATTTTGGGGTTGGGTATAGGATATTATTTTTCCAGGTTTGGGAGCTAGGGTCTAGGGACAGGATTGTATTTATCCAGGTTTGGTTTTTTAGTCTACCCTTTCCCACCCCCTCCGCACTTATCCTACCTTTAAAAACTGATATGTCACATCCTTAATTCCGAGTAACATTCCTTGAACAAATTAAACAATTTATCACCGTGGGAGGACTAATTAATTACTTTCAATACAACGTGGTTACGTGGTGCCGGAAACTTAAGAAAGGACAAAAGTAGAAAAACCAAGTTTTTTATTATATGTTTTTTAGCATTAGATTAATTTAGGTAAAGTATTATAATTGTAATTATATTCTTATACCTAAATTATAATTTTTCAGTAAAAAGGTTTTCTTTCTCATGTTGGTTTCCAGTGTCTAGTTTGTACTGTACATTTTGTTTTAAACCGCGAAATAATAATCTTGAAACCCCATGACAGGCACTTGACAACCATTATCTGAATGCACTGAGGCTAAACAAAAACAAGTTTGCCAAATTTTAGGACTGTCCAAAAATGAAGGGTGGCTTCTAATCATGATTTAAAATATGTTAAACCCATCTATAGAACACTGATGTGAAACAATTCAGATATAACTTTGCAATGAACGAGAGCCCCAAAAAATCTATTTTTTTTTGTAGGCAGTCCACATTTTGAAAATCTCAGTTTTTTATTAATATGATGATGATTAAATGCCGCGTAGAGTAAAGACGATTTCAAAAATACAGCATTTAATGCATACTATGATAATTCCTAGGAACTGGGCTTTGGTATTTCTCCAACCTTGAGGAAAATATTAAATATGGATATATCTAGGGTAAAATAAGTAAACTAGTAGATCAGGAAGTATTTAGTATTTAGACAAATTTGAGTCGGAGATGCAGGAATTGTTTAGGGTGAGGTTGATTTAGTAAACCGTAGGAGTGGTATTTATATATTTTTCTAGGTGTGCACAAACATACTGCAGGGTTAAAGGGAGTGACCGGCAATGTATGGTGGTTAAACTGAGTATGCAGTATTGTGGAAAATGTTTTTAGCATTCATTTGAGACATATACACGTTTTTACGATGTATAATTACTGAGTTTTAGTGCAAAGTCGACGTCTAAAATCATGAATTTGGGTGGGTACGTTTAAAAAATTGTTTTTATTTTAAATTATTAAATAATGAAGACGAACAATAATGTAAAAATCATGCAGAAAACTAATTAGAAACATATTTCTCAAAAAAATTTGTCAATAAATCAATGTTAGAATCAATTGTTTCGTTTTCATCATTATATTGAATTTCTTATTTTCTATGAATTTGTTAGCAGATTTCTACAGATTCTTCAAATGTCGTCTTTTCAATAAAAATTCCAGTAATCTGCAGAAAATCTTTGTGAATAATGAGAGATTATAGAAACTAATTGTTGAATAAGATTACTTAATTTCGATGATAAGAGTTAATTTTTTTCTCAGCCTGTTCCTAAACAACTAATTTGTTTATGTAGAATTTTTGTAACATTTTTTGTCTTTGTTATTTAATAATTTAAAAAAACCGATTCTGAAAACGTACCCACCCAAATTCATGATTTTGAACGTCGACTTTGAGCTCAAACTCAGTAAATATACATCGTAGAAACGTTTAATATGTCTCAAATAAATCCTAACAAAATTTGTTTACAGTACTACAAATTTAGTTTAACCACCATACATTGCCGATCACTCCCTTTAAAGATAATGCTTTTAGAGTACCACAGCGTCGTATTGCCATCTTTGCATAGAGGGTCACCTAAACCTAGGTTACAGTCCTTTTAACTTGACCAGAATAGGCAGAGTATATAAGCTGATTTGAAATGTAAATTTTTGCAATAATTGGAATAATTGGTTGAAATGCGAAGCACTAGGTCTGAGTCTTGAACAAAGGGTAAACTGTACGTATCCAATAGTTTGCTGTAACTAACAAAAGACGTGTATAGGACAAAAGACGTGTATAGGACAAAAGACGTGTATAGGACAAAAAATGGAAAAAATAAGTTAAAGATAAAAAGAAAAATAAGTTTAAAATAGTTAAAAGAAATTTCTACATGATGATAAATAAACTTACCAATGATATTTCAGTATGATGACAGATAAACTAACCTATGATATTTCAGTATGATGACAGATAAACTAACCTAAGATATTGTTGAATTTGTAGAATATAGAGATGACGGATAAACTAACCAACGATATTATAGTATATAGAGATGATAGGTGAACAACCAATGATATTCTAGTATATAGAGATGACAGATGAACTAACCAATGATATTCTAGTATATAGAGATGACAGATGAACTGACCAATGATGTTCTAAAATATATAGATGATGGATGAACTAACCAATGCTATTCTAGTATATAGATATGACGGATAAACTTACCAACGATATTCTAGTATATAGAGATGACAGATGAACTAACCAATGATATTCTAGTAAATGGAGATGACAGATAAACTGACCAATGATATTCTAGTATAAAGAGATGACAGATGAACTAACCAATGATATTCTAGTATATAGAGATGACAGATGAACTGACCAATGATGTTCTAGTAACCAATGATATTCTATTCTATAGAGATGACGGATGAACTAACCATAATATTCTAGTATATAGAGATGACGGATGAACTGACCAATGATGTTCTAGTAACCAATGATATTCTATTCTATAGAGATGACAGATGAACTAACCAATGATATTCTAGTATATAGAGATGACAGATGAACTAACCAACGATATTCTAGTATATTGAGATGACAGATGTACTAACCAATGATATTCTAGTATATAGAGATGACAAATAAACTAACCAATGATATTCTATTGTATAGAGATTACAAATGAACTAACAAATGATATTCTAGTATATAGAGATGACAAATAAACTAACCAATGATATTCTATTGTATAGAGATTACAAATGAACTAACAAATGAAATTCTAGTATATAGAGATGACGGATGAAGATCTCGATAGTAAGGCTGGTCTTATTTCTAGCGAGGCTGCAAGGAAAACTAAAATTCAATCAAACCAATCGAAACTTATTTGAATTTTACGTTCTCTAAAAAAATTAGTTTTAATAAGTTGGATTAGAAAGGAACTGAATTTTTGGCAAAACTTTAATTTTCTAATCTCACAACTGCAGTTGTAAACCTTTAAGTGTTTGTTTAAATCACCAAATTTTGAAATATCATAGATTTACATCATCAGGTTGCAAATATTTAGACATTTAGACATTAAAGAATATAAAAACCTACCTAAAATCCAATCTTTTTTTTCAAAGTAACTTTTTTTTGCTTGAAATATTTGATTGAATATTTCGTTTTGGTTCAGGATCTCCCAGTTCTACTCTATCCTAACCTCAAGTATAGACGTGATATATAAGTTCTGTGATAGGATACCTGGATACAATGAACTACAGAAACCTGATAGAGAACTTCTTTTCAGATCTTCCTGCCTTCAACTCTTTACACTCAGGCTAGCACACAGGTATATACGTAACAAAAACACAGAAAGTGTACCATTTTCAGTATATACTGTGAGAAACCGAAAAGAGAAAGACGACATTAAGGCAATAATTAAGTGTATTTGATTTTGTTACACAGCCAAAAGCTTACTCATATTCTCATATAATCAAGACCACAGGGGCTACGAGGTCACAAAGTCGTAGCAGTGGTTATACATAGTATACATTTGACATTCTCCTTCTGTCTAGTCAACTCCCTTTTCTAACTGTAAGCGTAATTTCAATTTACTATATGCAAAAATGGCAATGCCCGATTCACGACTGTACCCTTGAAAAGTATTCTATGATAAATCATGAATTTGATATCAATGTAATAGTTTTGAAAACTGATTAGTTTCACCTGTGCTTTTACTACAAAAGTGACTTGCGCAATTATACTGCAGGAAAACATATAGGAATTATAAAAATTAAACACTGTTTAGCCTGGAAAAATGACAATATCTTCAACATTACTCAGATAAAGGTTTCAAGGGTACCGTTGTGAATCCGACATTTTTGCACGGAGGGTATCCTACAATTGCGCGTACAGTCCTTTTAATTATGCAATTATTATAAAAATTTGTTTTTCAGATCTCTCCCTGACAGTCAGAAGTTTACCTTCTGTAATGGTGTTGTTCTTCATCGGAACCAAGTGAAGACGACCCTAGGAGATTGGTTGGACGGAATTACAGAGCTTTCTAAATCTCTTCAGCAAATAGACATCGACGCTTCAGCTTATGCTTGCTTGGCAGCTCTTATACTAGTCAATGGAAATTCAGGTAATAAGATCGTATTTGAATTAAAGAAAGGAAATGAGTCATTGCCACAAACTAATATGTTCTAATCCCTATATCTTTGCAACCTGTTTATGGGTCAAATATGATTGACGGATTTTAACGGGGACTTCTAAACGAAATACATAAAATAAATGTATTAAAAAAACACAAACTTTTCAACATTAGAAAAAAATAACTGTCATTTAAAGGAACTCTAAACATTATTTAAAGTCATAAAGGATGGTGGTCTGTGGAGTTTCTCAATGAGCTTACAAAGGTATAAACAGTGCCCTTGTGAATCTAACATGCCACTCTGTAATTGAAGGTTTACTTGGAAAAAACGTCTGTTGTACCTATAATTAAGGATCATCTTTATTTTTGAGCACAATCTTTTTACAGTAAATAAAGCGAATATATTTGTTGCTTGTTTTGTTTTCAAAAATTTACGATGCAATTTATCCATGCAATTATTTATGACGTAATCATCCAGAATGTTATTACATTGTTCCCTCTAAGCCTTATACTTTATAATTGCATCCTCCCCTCCATTCTCTCCGGACCTTGTACTTTATAATTGCACCCCCCCCCCTCCCCCTCATAGGACCTCGCCCAGTTCATCAGCTCTTTGTTAAAGCAAACTTAAATTTGATCTTTGAACTATCCTCAGAATTACTCCCCCCCCCCTGCATACTTGCACTCTGGGCACATAATGTTAATAACAATGTATTGTTTATTATATTTACTCATCGAAGGAGTATTATGCAAACCTTTTCTGTGAAAATAATTATACAAAAATTGTTTATAATTTTAGAATGAGCATACAATAGCTAGTTAATTGTAAAAATGTATATTTAACTACAAATTTGCAGACAGCTTTGAGATTTAAAGTTATAGAATCTGAATTTGAGTTAATCGAGTTAATTTTAAAATCAAAGAAATCAGCTCTTATAAGTATTCTAGATAAATAGGTCATAAATGTTAATCCATTTTTCATAATTTAATTTATCAAACTGAAAAAGTAGTTTTTTAATCAGAGGTGTTATTGGGGCAAAAATTGTACGGTAAACTCCACATCAGCAAGAACAATTAATGACAATTATGTCGAAAACACACAGTCAAAGATTTCGTCTTAAAAGATGCAATCTGTAAATAAAGAATTAATGAGTTTAAAGGAGGNAGCATAGGTTAGAACCTTTTCATTCGAGAGCATAGGTTAGAACCTTTTCATTCGAGAGTATAGGGTAGAACCTTTTCATACGTCTTCATTAGTAGTTAATCATAAGTGCGTCATAGATTTGGATACAGTGAGAACCAGAAAACCATGGAATAGGAGGACGACATTAAAATAATTTATTTAAGTGTATTTGATACTGTTAGAAGGCAATTAGTTATAGTATTAAGTTAAATGGGTTTGCTGCAAAACTGCTGTGCTTCATGTTCATTGGATTATTTAAAGTATCTAATTGAGTCTAAAAGTCGTCTTCTTGTTCCAGAGTTTTCTGGTTCTCTCTGTAGAGTTTACATTTTTCTAGTTTTTTTATTTTCTCCAAAGCTTTGAATAATTCTAGTTTTTTTTCAGGAGTTCTCAGTTTAATTGTGAACAATGTCCAAAGGAAATCAGACAAAAAAATTTGTATTATTTGTAACTTTTGTTTTGTTTTATTTTTTAACCCAGGTTTAAATTATTTTCAAAGAAGTTTGATCCTTAACAGCTTGAATTAAATCAAACAAACTTTAAACTGGTTACAAGTTGTAAATATACATAACAGTCGTGATTTAACAAATTACCTACGTAAATGAGATTGAAGCAAAATAACTTTTCTAAAAGTCTAATTTATTTTTATTTAATTCAGAACTTTTAAAATAGAAACTTTTGATCTGTTTTTAGAGTTTTAAAACCAGATCTCAGTTGAGAATCCATGTTAATGTGCATACAGGTAAGTTGAAGGGAACAAAATATATTTATCGTTACTTTAAAAATCAGTTTGCATAATTTTTTTTACACTATCATACAAATCTTGGAACTGTTGATGATGTAAAAAATTTGAAGTATACAGTGGCCGAATTTAAAGAATTTGAGCGGCGGTTTAAATTTAAGCCGCGGTTTAAATATGGTTGGTTCCACTTAAAATTGTATCAAATTTCTCTTATTGTTACCCAATATCCCTAATTATGTTGACATCAAGATAGGACCTACTATTATTATATAATTTCAATTCAGGTTCTAATCACCAAGCTTCCTACCCTCCCCCTCCCTCTTCAGTTTTCTTGATAACTTTATTCCTCTACTTTTGGAGAAGTTTAAATTAACATCTCGTAGTGACATGTCATTGATATGACGTAAAATTTAAAACAATGTAACGATGTTTTTATTTGGTTTCTTTTAAATATTTTATAAAATTACTATCAAGCACTTCATCTCGATCTAGTATTCTGTCAGATTGATTAGCGTTTGATCTGAAGAATGCAAAATGGGTGCCAAATGCATTGAATTTGATTTGAAAATTTTGAAATTGCAAATGAATGAATCCAAACGAAGGCGAATACGTGCAACAAAGAAAAGTGTGTAATTAAAGCGTCATTTTTTGAAACAAACTACCCTCACTAGCATTATTATACCTTATACAGCTAGAGAGTGGGGAGGGGGGTATATATAAGCCCCACGAATTCTGTTTCCGAGCCGCATTCTCTCCTAATTTTTTTGTTATCCTGTAAACCTTTGTCTGATCAATAGTGCAGAAGAAAGTGCTGTGTTTCTAGCTTGGAAAGTGTTTAATTTGATAAATTTCAGCCAAATTGTTTATAAAACAGAAATCCGCATTTGTCCTTAAATTGGTATTTTTTTTTTAAATCTTCCCTGGGGTCATGTAAGGTATTACAAAAATTGTTGACGTTTATCGGTTACAAACAAACAGACAGACAAGCAACGTATTATAAAATTAATATGGATATCTTACAAATATACAATACACAATATTTACATGCATATTGAGTCCATATGCAACCGAGCTAAAAATTAGGAACCCTCTCGTTATGGAGATTTTCAATCATGAGTTTTGTTTATGGATCCCATAAACTTGAATTTTCTTTCTCCGCTTTTACAAAATATAAAAATCTTATGATTAGATTTGAAAATTTTTAATTTTATTTTCCCTGATTTCAACATGCACAATTTGTTGTTTATAAGGAGTATTTTCCACTGAAAGGGACTTTAGATCTAATATTTAAAGAGCAGAATGCCAGATTCAAACCTTTATACCATTTAAACCTTTATCTGATCAATAAAGTGTGGGATATCGTCGCTTGATAAGTGTTAAATTCTGAAAAGTTCTTCCTTATTGTTTCTTAAATTATCAACTTTCAAAAGAACAGATTTTTGACATCCCAGTCATTCTTGATCCGACAAAGTTTTAAAAAGAGGTGTCGTACATGTGGCACTTAATAAATGGAGAGAAGAGTCACTTGAGAATACCTCTACAAATCCTTTAATTACAAAGAAGTATAGTTAAATACCTCTATAGTTCCTTTAATTACACAGAAGTATAATTAAATACCACTACAGTTCCTTTAGTTACACAGAAGTATAATTAAATACCACTACAGTTCCTTTAATTACACAGAAGTATAATTAAATACCACTACAGTTCCTTTAATTACACAGAAGTATAATTAAATACCACTACAGTTCCTTTAATTACACAGAAGTATAATTAAATACCACTACAGTTCCTTTAATTACACAGAAGTATAATTAAATACCACTACAGTTCCTTTAATTACACAGAAGTATAATTAAATACCACTACAGTTCCTTTAATTACACAGAAGTATAATTAAATACCACTACAGTTCCTTTAATTACACAGAAGTATAATTAAATACCACTACAGTTCCTTTAATTACACAGAAGTATAATTAAATACCACTACAGTTCCTTTAATTACACAGAAGTATAATTAAATACCACTACAGTTCCTTTAATTACACAGAAGTATAATTAAATACCACTACAGTTCCTTTAATTACACAGAAGTATAATTAAATACCACTACAGTTCCTTTAATTACACAGAAGTATAATTAAATACCTCTACAGTTCCTTTAACTACACAGAAGTATATTTAAATACCTTATAGTCCTTTTAATTACACAGAAGTATAGTTAAATACCTCTTCAGTCCCTTTATTACAGAGAAGTATAGTTAAATACCTCTACAGTCCCTTTAATTACAGAGAAGTATAGTTAAATACCTATACAGTCCTTTTAATTACACAGAAGTATAGTTAAATACCTCGACAGTCCTTTTAATTACACAGAAGTATAGTTAAATACCTCTACAGTCCTTTTAACTACACAGAAGTATAGTTAAATACCTCTACAGTCCTTTTAATTACACAGAAGTATAGTTAAATAACTTTACAGTCCCTTTAATTACAGAGAAGTGTAGTTAAATACCTTTACAGTCCCTTTAATTACAGAGAAGTATAGTTAAATACCTTTACAGTCCCTTTAATTACAGAGAAGTATAGTTAAATACCTTTACAGTCCCTTTAATTACAGAGAAGTATAGTTAAATACCTCTACAGTCCTTTTAACTACACACAAGTATAGTTAAATACCTTTACAGTCCCTTTAATTATAGAGAAGTATAGTTAAATACCTTTACAGTACCTTTAATTACAGAGAAGCATAGTTAAATACCTCTACAGTCCTTTTAACTACACACAAGTATAGTTAAATATCCCTACAGTCCCTTTAATTGTAGAGAAGTAAATATAGTTGCAAAAAGGTTAACGCGGTGACAAAACATATATATTTTCCAACCTTTGATAAATATACTGTTAAGCGATAATAATCAAGATCTAATAGTATAATTATACCCTAAACAAAAACTGTATAAATTAAAAGTCCATAATTTACACTAATTGAAGCCTCACCTCACATCACTCAAAAGGAAATTGCAGGTTAGGGATTGCAAGTTTGCACACCGAGCAACGTTGCGAA